AAAAAAAAAAAAAAGTACAGTGGGATATTGGGGAGTGGAGAGAACTACTAATAAACCTAAAGTTCTGTGATGCAGTGAACAACCAACAGTCACAGTAGATGGTTTTGAAGTTCCTGGCACATAGAGGTACAAAGAGTGGGGTAGTGGCCCCTCCTCTCTGGTCCCATAGCCCCTGCACATCACCTGGACTACAGTCACCACACTGCATTTTAATTGATTACCATTTTTTTCTGCAGCTCCATTAAATTCCTATAGCCTCAAAAAAAAAAAAAGAATGTATCCTGGGTGTTTGGTCTAATTTTCTCTAAGTATGTGCACTTGCAGGTTTTCTGATATTTGACCATCATGTGGTCTACCAAATTAAACCAATAGTAGCCATTGCTCAATAGGGGAGCTACAATTTACTCCTAGAAAGATAAGGATTGCAAAAGCAAAGGAATTTTAGGTTCGTAAACCCTAATGTTTTACAGATGCAAAGACTGAAACTCAGGGAGGGTAAATGACTTGCCCAGACAGCTCACTGACTCCAGAAGTGATACCCAGATAAAAATTTACATTGGTATGCAAGGTTCCTGACTGCAGATCAGGGTTCCAGTGACCACAGCGCCATAGGCCACCAAAGCAGAGGAGGTGTTCTAACATCCAATTAAATGAATTGGGAAGGCAGCATCCCATCATCTGGCAAACACCCTGAACTTTATCAGGCAGCCAACAGTAAAAACTGGAGACTGGCTCTTACATGTCCCAACTCACAACTTGTGACAACATCCAAAATAAAGATCATTACTACTCCCAATGGTCTTGTCCTTTACCTTCTGTTTAGTTTTTCTACCAAATGATGTATAACTCAACTCACGAATTCCCCTTTCACAATAAGTTCCTCTGTGATGGAGAGTATATGCTGTGAAGATCTTTCTTCCTATACCCATACCTCTTCCTGGGTTTGTTCCCCCAAACCACATAAATCTAAATGTTGCTATTGTTGTTAAGTGCCATCAAATCAGTTCCGACTCATAGTGACCCTGTATAGGGTTTCCAAAGAGTAGCTGGTGAGCTTGAACCATCAACCTTGTAGTTCAAACCAATCTAAATACACAACAGTTAAACACACTTCTCTGTGTTACAGGCTGCTTACATAAGAGGATTTAAATAGATTTGATTTTTTTAAAAACCTAAAATACTGAAGTGTAGAGCAATAAAGGCGCCCTGGTAGCATTGTGGGTTATGTGTTGGGCTGCTAAGCACAAGGTCAACAGTTTGAATCCACTATCCATCCTGCTTAAGAAAGATGAGGTTTTCTGTTCCCATAAGAATGTATAGCCTCTCCCAGTGACATATGCCTCGTGAAAAGCCTTTACAGAATATAGGACCTTAGGTGGAATCCTGAGTCCCATCCAGAACATTATGAGGTGGGACATTTCCACTAGAAAGGATAAGCAGACCAGCCTGGAATAGCTACAGTGACAGAAGATACATCTTCAAAGAAAGATCACCAGGAAAAAACTCAAAACAAAAATGTCAGCATGACTGGCTACCACAAAAAAAGCAAGCTGTTCACTAGGAAGACATCAAGGCTAGCAATCAAGTGTCTTCAGGATAAACTCCCCTCTAAGACTGAAACTCAGCGGGAACACATGTGCAGCCATGTAAGCTTGCTGGTGACCACATTGGTCTACTGGTGAGTGGAAGAGGCAGAAAGGCAGCAATGAAGAAATGGGCTGAGTTCAACCACAGTCCATTGACTCC